CATGTGATGTCAGAGGGTCCAGCTTTCCATGTATGTGCATAGGGAATTTACCCTTCCATCTCATGAAGACCTACCTTCACCCTACTGCAATGTGAAGACCTTGAAATTACCCAGCCCTAACACTACAACACATCAATCACCACCTCATCAGATGTGCAGAAGGTGGCCAGACTTCACCTAAGAGTGGACACATCATTCACCATTCCATTATATGAGGACCTGGCATTCACACTTCCATCACAAGGAAATGGATCTTCACGCCATCTTCACATGAAGACATTCCCATCACCATATTCTCACATTGTAACATGGACTTCAACCTTTTTTTCTGATGAGGACTGGGCTTTTTGCCTTCCTTAGTTAAATATCAGTTGAATTCTTCAGTCTTTAGTGGACAATGTGTTTACACTTCCCTTTGTAGGAGAGGTAATTCAAATTCTCTAATGTGAGAACACAGTGTTCATACTTCTTATCAATAATAAAACAGAATTCACACTTCCATGAGGTTGGAAAATGGTATTCACTATTTCTCAGAACAGTTCATATGAATGTCTTTTTCTCCACAGACAACAGAGCATCTGAAGTCACCTCCTGTGAACATGGAGCCTTTATTCTTCCCTCAAGATTGTAAATATCTTTATCTTTCCACCAAATAATCACAGGTTGCTCCAACTTCCATCATTGAGTACAGGGCATTAACAGTGACATCACAGGACAAAATGGCACTCAGCATTCCTTCATAAGTAAATAGAGCCTCCACCCTTTACTCTGCTAAAGAGAGAACACTCACCGTCTCTTCATATGAAAACATGATCTTCACCCTGTCACCATGTGTGGACATGTCATTCATCCTGCTGACACATCAAGTCAGGCTTCTTAAGCATCCTTCAGGTGATGGGGGGCATTTCCTTTCTGTCAGCTGAGAACAGAGAGTTCACCCTTCCACCATGTGAGGAAAATGTATTCATGCCTCCCTCCATTGAGAACAGGGCCATTCCCTTCCATAACATACAGATTGGCTAGTCACATGCCATTTCAACTAGATAACCACTTTCAAACATCCAACATGTGAGGTGACAGAGTTCATGTCTCCATGCGTGAGGACAGGGCATTCATCCTTCCATCATGTGGCAAGATCTTCACCTTATTGTGATGTGAGGACCCTGAATTCACATAGCTCTTGCATAACAACACATCCATCACCATTTTATCAGATGTGCAGGAGGTGCTCAAATTTCATAAAGACAGGACAGAGCATTCAGCCTGCCATTACACAAGGATTCTGCATTCTCTCATCCATCACCTTCGTGACATCTTCACATGAGAATATTCCCTTCACCATATTCTCATATCATAACACAGCCTTCACCTTACTGCCAGATGAGAAGATAACATTTGGCCTTCTGTACTTTAGTAGTGGCTGACAATCATATGGCCTGTCATGGACACATTGTTCATAATTTCTTTTATGAACATTCAAATTCTCTAACATAGGAATACAGTGTTTGTCCTTCAGTCCAGTGAAGAAACTTATTGCCCTCTTCCATTAGGTGAAGAGATAGATTTCTGTATCGCACAGGAAAGGTCAAGATAACATCCATCCAAAAGCAGAGAATGAGGCATTCAGCCTTCCCTCCAGTGAAGACAAACCATCTAATCTTCCATGAGGATTGCCAAGTACATTTACCATTCCATCATAGACCATTCAACATAGGCCATTCAAAATTCAATCACGTGGGTACGGGGCATTAACTTTACATCCACAAACAGCATTCACCATATCCCTCATAAGTGAAAGTCATCCTCCCTTTCCTCTGGTGAGCACAGGACATCACCCTCCCTTCACATGAAGACATGATCTTCACCCTGTCCCCATGTGAGGACATGGCATTTGCCCTGATGACACATCAGATGAGGCTGCCCACCCTTCTCAGGAGAGAAGAACATTCCCCTTCCTTCAGCTTACAACAGAATTCACTCTTGCACCATGTGAGGAAGATGTGTTCATGCTTCCCTCAGTTGAAGATAACATTCCCTCTTCCACCATGTGCAGAAAAACCATTCTCTTCCCCATGCAATGAGGACACCAAGTTCAAACATCCTACATGTGAGGGGACAGGGTTCTCCTCATCATAGCTGATGACAGGGCATTCATCTTTCCATCACATGACAACAAGGCCTTCACCCTATAGTGATGTGAGGACTCCGCATTCACCCAGTCCTACCAATACAACACATCAATCACCATTCCACCAGATGTGCAGAAATTGACCAAACTTAGATTACAAGAGGACAAAATGCCATTATATGAGGACTCTGCAGTCGGTCATAATGAAAGAACAGATCCTTAATATCTTCATACCAGGACATGCCCTTCACCATATTGTCACACTGTCACACAGCTTTCTACCTTCTTTCATATGAAGCATAGGCATTTAGCCCTCTTTGGTTGAGTACTGACTGAAAATTTCACAGTCTGTAGTGGCTGTTGTGTACACATTTCCCATTGAGGAGAGGGCATTAAAATTCTCTAATGAAGACTGCCCCTCTGCCTGGAGATGAAACACCACATGGTGAGGAGTTGGCATTCAATGTCTCACTGTCTTTCAGGCATTTGTATTTCCATCTGCAGAGGATGGCTTTCAGCCCTCTCTCCTGTGAAAACAGAGTCTTTATTCTTCCCTCAAGATTGTAAAGTCTAGTTATGGTCCTCACTTACCTCAGCTGATGTTAGGAGATTCACCGTTCCTTAACAAGGAGACATGATCTTCACCCTATCACCATGTGAGGACTAGGCATTTATCCTACCAACACATCAGACGAGGCTGCCCACCCTTCCTTCTGGTGAGGAAGGACATTCCCCTCCACCAGCTGAGTACACAGAGTTCACCTTTTCAACACGTGAGAAAACTCTATTCATGCTTCTATCATTTGAGGGCAGGACATTCACTCATTCATCAGGAGCTCTCATGCAATCACTCTTCCATTTGATGAGGACACAGCTTTTTCCTTATTTTCCTGTGAGGGCATGGGGCCACCTCTCCATGACTGAGGACAAGGCATTCACCACTTTAGCCCACTAGGACACAACACTCATCCTATCACCTGTTGTATTCATCCAATACTCACCTGGTTATACTTCTTTCTCTTAAACACAAGGCTTTCAACCTTGCAACCTTGCATCAGGAAAAAGGCAAAACATTCACTCTACTATTATCTGAAGTCTTACCTACACCATTTCATCACATCAGGATTTACACCTTCACCCTATCTTCAAGTGAAGATGTTGCATTCACCTTACACACACCTTTAGGGAATCACCTTCAAACTTCCCTGATGTTAGGAGAAGGTTTTGGCCTTCAGTCAGGAGAGTACCAGGTGATAATTCTTCATACACCAGATGGCAGACTGTTGACATTTTTCATGGTGAAGGGAGGGTATTTAACCTTCCAGGAAGTGAGAATTCAGTGTCTGCCATTCTGTCTGGTAGAGACATAGCTTTCCCCGTTGCTTTAGGTGAGAAGTTGTTCATCCCACATTGTGAACAGATCAACCCTTTCAACAGAAGACACTATGACATTCCCATTACCTCAGCTGAAGAAAAGCCATTCACCATTATTTCAGGTAAGGCATGGCCTTCACATATTCACCAAGTGAGAACACACCTTTCACCCTACTGACACATGAAATGAAGCTGCCCCACTTCCATCAGATGAGGGGAAGATACTTCCCTTCCCTCAGAAAGTACACAGAATTCACCCTTCTATCAGGTGAGACAACTGCATTCACTTTGCATCAGGTGATGACAGGACTTTCACTATTCCATCATTTTTGGACAGATTTATTACACTCCCATTCCATGGCTCACAATTTCAAACTTCTATCATTTCCAGGCACAGGAGTCACCTTTTGGCATTGGGACAGGCCATCCACTCTTCCATCATATGACAACATGGTCTGCACCCTAAGGTAAATGTTTACAGTGTGTTTTCTCATGAAATTCACATAATGATACATCCTTCATCTTTTCATCATGCTAGCAATGGGATTCAATGTTCTTCAGGAGAGGACAAGATGTTCACCTTAACATCACTTGTGGACACCTCATTCAGCCTTCCCTTTTGTAAGCCAAGATCTTCACCTTATTTTCACATTAGAACAAGGCCTTCACCCTTAAAACATTTTGCAGAGAATGACCTCAGCCTTTTGTCAATAAGCACTAGGTAGAAATCCTTCACTGACTAGACTCAGAATGCTCATGCTTCCATGGGTAAGGGAAGGGCATTCAGACTTAGGTGAGAACATGGTGGCTGCCCTTCTGTCCAGTGAGGATACAGACTTCACTATTCCTTAGGTGAGGAGATGGTGCTCATCTTCCCACATATGGGTACATGTGATCCCTCTTCCATCCACAGGGAATAGGGCATTTATCTTTCTATCTCATGAGGACAAAGACTTACTCTTCCTCTCGGCATCTGAAAGCACATGGACCATTCCACCAGATGAAGAAGGGGCATTCACCTTACATCATATGAAGACACCATATTAATCACACCATCATGAGATGCAATGGCATCAACTTCTTTCACATATGAACATAGTATCACCTTTCCCTCAGGTGAGGACAGCCATTCACAGCATCCCTTCAGGTGAAGACACAGCTTCCAACCTCTCATCCTGTGAGAACATGGTTTCCTTCTGCTGAAACATGATATGAGGGTGTCCACCCTCCCCTGCAGATGAGGAGACATTTCCCCTTCCAACAGAAAACTATGTAGAATTCACCCTCCATCAGGTTAGGAAACTCCATTCATGCTTACACCAGGTGAAGATAGGACACTCGCACTTCCATCAGATGTAGAGAGGGCATGCACCTGCCCATTTGGTCAGGTCACAGCATTAAACTAATGGAATCAGGAGGCTCGAGGTTCACCTCTCCATGCCTGAGAAGAAGGTATTCACTGTTCCATCACTGACAGCATGCCTTCACCTCACATCATGTAAAGACCCTGCATTCCCCAGACACTCACATGACAACACGTCCCTCAACCTTCCATTAAGTGAGAACAGACTCTCAACCCTCCATCAGGAAAGGCCTGGGCATTCACCCAACCATGACTGAGGACCCCACATTCACCCTTCCATCACAGGAGGACAGAAACTTTCCCCTATCTTCATGTGAGGAGATGGAATTCACCTTTCTTCAATGTAAAGAAGAGAAGGCAGTCAGCCTCCCATCATGTGAGTACTGGGTGCTAGTCTTTCAGTCAATATGGAATAGTATGTTCACACATCCCTTAGTGAGAAGAGGGCATTTAAAACTCTGTATGGTGAGATCATGCTGTTTGCCTTTCTGTCCAATGAGAACACAGACTCCATCCTTCTCAAGTTGAAGAGCAGGTATTCACATTCTCGCAGAAGTGACCACGTGATTACTTTTCCATCAGCACAGAATAGGGCATTTGTGATGACAGAGACTGAGTCTTTCCTCAGGCTTAGGAAGAGCACTCAAAATTCCACCCAATGAAGACGTGGCATTCACCCTTCTATCATGTGAGAACAAGACTTGAACCCTACCACCTTGAGAGGAAGTGACATGCACACTTACATCAGGTGAGTGCTTGGCATCATCCATACTCTCTGCTGAGGACAGGACATTCCCCCTACCTACAGGGTTTCATCATGTAAGGACATGGCTTTCATCCCATGGACACATGAGAAGAGGGTGTCCACCCTTCCCTTGGGTGAGGAAAAGATGTTTCCCTTCTATCAATAGAACACAACTCCCCCCTTCCATCAGGTGAGGACAGGACCTTCATTTTCCAATTAATGAGAACACTGGATTCAGACTTCTGTGAGGGCACATGGCTCACATCTCCATGATGATGCAGCCTTCACCCTAACATCATGTGAGGACCCTGCATTCACAACACTCACATGACGATACTTCCTTCACGTTCTATCAGATGGACATAGAGCATTCAACCTTCCATCAGGAAAAGACAGGGTATTCATCCTACCATCACCTGAGGGATACCACATTCACCCTCACTTCAACTCCAGGACAGGATCTCAAAATTTCTTCATGTGAAGACAGCATTCGCCTTACTCTCATGTAAGGGCACAGCTTTCCCCTACTGTCAATAAGGAGAAGGAATTTGGCTTTCTTCAGCTGAGTACTGGGTGACAATTCCTCAGTCTGTACTGGACAATGTGTGTTCACATTTCCCTTTTTTGAGGAGAGGGTATTCAAATTCCATAAGCTGACAGGACAGTGTTCGCCCTTCTGTTCAGTGATGACACAGATTTCAACTGTCTCTTAGTCGAGGAGGTGGCATTCACTATCTCACAGGACAGTTCAAGTGAGGGCCTTTCAATCTGTAGGGAATGGGGAGGGGGATAATTCAGCCTTCTCTCCAGCGAAGGCAGCACCTTTACTCTACTCTCAAGATTGTAAAGTCTGTGTATCATTCCACCAGACAAACACATGCCATTCAAACTTCCATTATCTGAGTACAGAGCATTAGCAGCACTTTCACAGGACAAAATGGCCCTCACCCTTCCCTTACATGTGAAGACGCCATCCCCTCTTCCCTATCTTGAGGTGAGAAAGGGGCATGTTTGCTTCCACCAGCCAAGTACACAGAATTCACCCTCCCATCAGGAGAGTAAATGACATTCACACTTCCGACAGTGAGGATTTGACCTTCTCTCCAATCATTTCTGCACACGGCATTTAACTCCAATGAGGACACAGCATTCAAAATCCCATCATGTGAAGGCATGGGGTCCACCTTAGCATCAATAAATTCACACAATTCTTTCTACCATCACCTGAGGATTTGGCATTCACGTCTCCTCAGGTGATGTAGGGAATTCACTCCATCTTCACACATGGACACAGCATTCCTGTTAGTACTGCATTTGGACATGGCCTTCACCCCTCCATCAGCTAAGAAGGTTCTCATTATCCCTCACAAAAGCATGAATTGATTATCCTTGCATCAGTAGAGAATAGTGCAGTCACCATTCTATCCAATGAAATCAGGACATTCACTCTGCCTTCATGTGAAGGCAGAATGTTAATACTACTGTTAGTTGAGGAAATGGCATTCACCTATCAAATAAGGAAGCTGCATTCACCCTTCCTAGTTCAGGACATGTATGGGGCGCACTTCCCTCAATGGAAGACATGGTGTGTGGCAACTTTCATAATTTTAGGACACAGCATTCATCTTACCTTCACTTGTGGATAGATTCCAACTGCTGCCAGATGAGGATGGGACATTCACCTTTCTTAGGTGAGGACAAAGATGACACTCACCTTATCATCTCATGAAGACACAGCATTATCCAAACAAGTGAGGTCACAATCTTCAGTCTCCCAGACCCCAGGCCAAGAGTGCCTGAGTGGGTGAGCATCACAGAGGTGGGTGAGCATCACAGAGGTGTTGCCCTGACTACTGACCACCACACATTTATGACAGACACCCTGGGACTTCAGCTGGGTCCCAATATCAAGGGTGGCTCCTTGTGGCCAGCAGGCAGCATCCCCTGAGCTTCAGGTCTGTTCACAAACAGGCAGTTTGGTAAAACAGATGCTCAGGTCCCCCTAGTTGTGGTTGATCAACCAAAGATTTAGTGGGACTCCCAATAAGCAGCACACAAACATTCAAGCTCCCAGATTCATCTTCAAAGTGACCCTCCAAGAGCAGGCTCCAACCTTTGCCCCACAAGTGCTGGACCCAGGCAGCTTCTTATTCCTGGAAGGGAGTGGATGCAGAGCCCTAAGGACCTGCACCAGGTCAGGCACCATCCACCTGCTGGGTTGGATTGGCTCCATCCTCTCCTGCCCTAAGACTCAGCCTCAGACACTTGAGAGAAATGGATGAGGCAGCTCTCCAGTCAGTGGACACCCAGGAGGGACCCCTGTCCTGCAAGTACAGGGCCTGGCAGGGACCCTGGTATCCATGGGCATGGGGGGCTGTGGCTATCCCATGAACTCTCCTTCCAGGGTGAGTACAGCAAGCCCTGAAAGAGCTGAGGGGGAAGGGTCCTGAGAAGTAGTCCTCTGCCCAGGGGATGGGATGAGGCTGGGACCCCTCAGCCACTTTCCCCCAGTGAGGGTCCCTACCATAGACCCATACTGTGGCAATGCCTGAGAACTGCCTGGTACTACCAGGGACACCTGGCTTCAGGCCTTCCTAACACCCACACCCATTGGAGGGTCTACCTCCTCTACCTGCTCTCCTATACCATGGCCATTGACCCACCTCCCCCAACCTCACCGCTCTCCACAGTGACTGTGTCTCCTGCACCCTGACCCTTCTTCATCCCAGGTCTTCTCAGAACCTCAAGCCCAACATCCTGCAAGGGTCCCAACAACTAACTCATCCATGTTTCAAGCTGCACTGCTGACACGTGGTCCTGAGCAACCCCAAGCCACCATCCTACCTGGATGTCTGAGCCACCTCCCCAGGTCTCTTTCCTATGGCTGTCCTGGGACAATGTTGGGGACAGACCCCAGGCCTGACTCCTCCAGAGCAGGCCACAATTCTCCTCCCAGCACAGAGACAGGGGCAGGTTGCCCCATGCTACAAACCCTTCCTGTGCTGGTCTTCCTTGTTGTGTCCCCATAGAGAGGTTCCATACGAGTGTCCTCCCCTAGCTGTCCCTCACATTCTTCCCCTAGATGCTGCAGGTCTGCTTCCATGCCCCCACTGAACCATTGGAAACCACATGACTGAGGACCCAGACTCCTGCCCCATGTCCAGTTCTATTCTGGTCCACTCTCCCGAGTGGCTTACTAGGCCATTTATCATTGGCCCAACACAGACCTGAGCCTGGAATGTGTTGGGCTGGCCACAAGGCCCAGACCCTAGGCAGAAATGTCCTGTATCAAGAAAGGAGTTTCTGCAAACAGAACTTACCCTGAGATGAGCTGGCGCAGATCCCCACACTCACTGCCAATAGGTATGTGGGGGGGAGGCTTGTCCTCTTCCCAGGGAGTCACCAGCAGCCCTGCTTGCCATTCCTGCAGCCCACAGAAGACCTGGGTTACAGGCCAGAGCCCGAAGGTACAGAACAGGACAGCCCTGCTCTCTCCTGCAGACTGATGGAGCCCAGACTCTGTGACTGGGAGCCCACTAGGTGAGGATGACCCTCACCTCCTCCAGAAGCTGCGTGTTTGTACCCACTGATCCCTGGTAACAGCCACTGCTCACTCTGAGGCCACCAGTGTCCCAAGGACCCCCACATTCCCAGCTGCAAGACTGAAGTCCAAACCTGTCACAGTGCAGTGCTGAGAGTCACAGGGTGGCTTCCCCATGGCCTGTTCCTCAGATCACAGTGAACGACAACTGTACAGTGAGACCAGTGGCACCCAATACCCAGAGGGCAGGAAGTGGTCTGCTCCAGAGGACATGGACATATATGGGCCACGTGGGTCAGTTGCACTTCCCAAAAGCCTTTGTCTGGAATCCGTCTACTTTTACCCAGGGCAACGTTGGTCTAGAAAACCAACACAGGCCAGTTCCTCATCAGACACTGCTGTCCTCTAACTGCCAGGGGACAGGCAGGGTGGTACTTGGTGATGGTGACACCATGAGTCTAGAGCCATGTAACAATGCCACCCTGCCAGTTCAGTAGCATGGGGTCAGACTGCTCAAGCCCCTGTATTTTCTGATTTTCACAGAGGTGGGTTCAGAGATCTCCCCAGGATCAGGTGAGGAATGAAGCTCTATAGCAGGTGGACCAGGAACCCAGGTGTGCCTGCGCCCACTGCTCCCTGCATGCCAAGGTCCTGAGATTTGGCAGCCCTGCAGTTCTTCTTCCTATGACTCCTCTACAATCATACGCATATACATATATGCTTATCTTTAAAGGCCTTTTCCTTCTTAATAAATGTGCTTCTTTCCAGGGTCTTTCTAGTGTCTGTGACCTGAACACTGCCTGACACAGATAGCAACCCTATTAGTAACAACAAATTAAAAAATCTACAAAGGCACCAACACTCTGCTGTGGGTCTGCATGGCATTTTAGGCAATAAAGATGTCCTCCAAAGTGGTTAGGGGCCAGGTGTCCCAGAGCAAGAAGAGTTGCTGATCTGTCAGGCAGGCTACACACCAGCATGAGACAGGAGAGGGTGTGCCCAGGGTGAACTCCAATGTTGGACTCTCTGTTTTCAAGGGAGGGGAAGAGGTGGCACCAGGACAACAGACAAGACCCTTTGGGCCAGCCTGCCACCAACAGCCTTGGGACAGTAGCCCTTTAACATTGCGGAGCTCATTCCTGGCAGACATGGGGAGAGAGCTCTAACAGCCCTTGTGTCCCAGCAAAGAGGTCAGAGGAAGCTGGGCAGGGCCCAGGAAACAGAGCCTGGGATTCCACCTACTGTTTCCCAGTGAGGCAAAACACATATCCAGAAATGATCCTTAGACAATACACGGGCACCCCCATCAGGTCAAGTTGACTCCCAGAATGAAACATCACAGACACACCCCTGTCAGCCCAGCCCCATGTGCATCTGCTAAAACCATGCACCTCTGCAAAGAAGGCAGTGGCCAGCCATGCTCACTGCTCCTACTACACTGTTGTGCAACTACGCCACCCTGACATTGGTGGGGACAGACTCCAGGCCTGCTCCTGCATACCAGGTCCCATTTCTCCCAGCACACAGACAGGGGCAGGTTGTCCCATGCTGTAAACCACTCCCCTCAGCTTCTTCTCTGGATGCTGCAGGTCTGTCTCCATGCCCCCAGTGAACTGCTTGAGACCACCTGCCTTAGGAACCAGACTCCTGCCCCATTTCCACTTGTGTTCTGGTCCACTACCAAAGTGGCTTACTAGGTCAAGTATCACTGGCCAACTACAGACCTGATCCTGGAATGTGCTGGGGCTGGCAACAAGGTCCAAACCCTGGGCAGAAATGTCCTGTATCAAGAAAGGAGTTTCTGAAAACAGTGTGTGCACGTGCACGCACGTGTGTGTGTGTGTGCATGCGTGCACATGTGAGCACAAATTGTTAAAAGATTTACTTAATATAGAGTTGGTCACCTGTGTACAAAGTTAATTAAAGGGCCAGCACTATGGCATAGCGGGTAGAGCTGCAACCTGCAGTGCTGGCATCCCATTTGGGCGCCAGTTTGAGACCTGGCTGCTCCACTTCCCATCCAGCTCTCTGCTATGGCCTGGGAAAGCAGTAGAAGATGGCCCGTGTCCTTGGTCCCATGTACCCGCTAGGGAGATCCGGAAGAAGCACGTGGTTCCTGGCTTTGGATTGGCACAGCTACGGTCATTGTGGCCATCTGGGGAGTGAACCAGTGAATGTAAAACCTTTGTCTCTCTGTCTCTCCCTGTCTCTCTCCCTCTCCCTCTCCTCTCTCTGTGTAACTCTAAATTTCAAATAAATAAAATAAATCTTTAAAAAAGAAAAAGTTCATTGAAAATGAATCTTAATGGAGAATGGGACTGGTAATGGGAGAGGGAGGATGAGGAGGGGTGGGCATATGGGTGGGAGGGCAGGTATGGTGGGAAGAATACCAATATTCCTAAAGTTGCACTTACAAAATTTGTATTCATTAAAAAATAAATTAAAAAAATAAATAAAAAGAAAGAAAGGAGTTTTTGAAAACAGAACTTACCCTGAGATGAGGTGGGCAGATGAGTCACCAACAGTGCATGTCCCCAGCCTCACTGGGAATAGGTGTGGGGGGGCCCAGTCTCACTGCCAATAGGTGTGTGTGGGGGGGCTTGTCCTCCTCTTCCCAGGCATCACCAACAGCCCTGCTTGCCATTCCTGCAGCCCACAGAAGACCTGGGTTACAGGCCAGAGCCCCAAAGTACAGAACAGGACAGCCCTGCCCTCTCTTGCAGACTGATGGAGCCCAGAGTCTGTGAATGAGGGCCCACTAGGTGAGGACCACCCACATCTCCTCTAGGAGATGCCTGTCTGTGCCCACTGATCCCTGGTAACAGCCACTGCTCACTCTGAGGCCACCAGTGTCCCAAGGACCCCCACATTCCCAGCTGCAAGACTGAAGTCCAAACCTGTCACAGTGCAGTGCTGAGAGTCACAGGGTGGCTTCCCCATGGCCTGTTCCTCAGCTCACAGTGCACGACAACTGCACAGTGAGACTAGTGGCACCCAATACCCAGAGGGCAGGAAGTAGTCTACTCCAGAGGACATGGACAAAGTCAGGCCATCTGGGGCCTATGCACTTCCCCCACAAGCCAGAAAGACGGAGCCTCATCACTCAGTTTGGCACTGGGGTATCCTCCAGTGTGCCTAACTCCTTAAGGGCAGGGGTTCTCCCACCCAAACCCCAGGGGAGGTATCATGATGGGCCCACAGCAGGGCTGGCTGGCCCACCTGTGGTCATAATTGACCCCAGGACACATTAGGAGAATCATTTCCTGGCACAGAATCACACCAGGGATGCATTCTCACTCACAATACAGCATCACTGAGAGAAGTCAATGAGATGACCCTGGACACACTCAGCACACCATAGACACTGCTGTGTGTTCAGCTGCCATCACACAGGGCTGCCACTACTTCACAGCCATTGACTCCAGCTCTTCAGGAAAGGAAGTGGGCAACTCCCACTCACCTCTGCTGGAATCTGTTCATCTCTGCTGATGGTAACTCTGGTCTAGAAAACCAGCACAGGCCAGTTCCTCATCAGACACTGCTGTCCTCTAACTGCCAGGGGACAGGCAGGGTGGTACTTGGTGATGGTGACACCATGAGTCTAGAGCCATGTCACAATGCCACCTGCCAGCTCAGCAACATGGGATCAGACTGCTCAAGCCCCTGTATTTTCTGATTTTCACAGAGGTGGGTTCAGAGATCTCCCCAGGATCAGGTGAGGAATGAAGCTCTATAGCAGGTGGACCAGGAACCCAGGTGTGCCTGCGCCCACTGCTCCCTGCATGCCAAGGTCCTGAGATTTGGCAGCCCTGCAGTTCTTCCTCCTATGACTCCTCTACAATCATACACATATACATATATGCTTATCTTTAAAGGCCTTTTCCTTCTTAATAAATGTGCTTCTTTCCAGGGTCTTTCTAGTGTCTGTGACCTGAACACTGCCTGACACAGATAGCAACCCTATTAGTAACAACAAATTAAAAAATCTACAAAGGCCCCAACACTCTGCTGTGGGTCTGCATGGCATTTTAGGCAATAAAGATGTCCTCCAAAGTGGTTAGGGGCCAGGTGTCCCAGAGCAAGAAGAGTTGCTGATCTGTCAGGCAGGCTACACACCAGCATGAGACAGGAGAGGGTGTGCCCAGGGTGAACTCCAATGTTGGACCCTCTGTTTTCAAGGGAGGGGAAGAGGTGGCACCAGGACAACAGACAAAGCCCTTTAGGGGCTCATGGCCTCCAACAAACTTGGGACAGGGGCACCAGAACAGAGTAGAGCTCCTCTGTCCCTTGTTACCTTCCCTGCTCTGAGCACTTGCTCCAGGGTGTGCTGAAATCATCTGATACCCACAGGGTGGCAACAGTGAGTGCAGTGTCTGTAACCAGCTGATGGTACATCACTGTCCACACTGGCAGACATTGGGAGAGAGCTCTGCAAGCCCTTGTGTCCCAGCAAAGAGGTCAGAGGAGGCTGGGCAGGACCCAGGAAACAGAGCCTGGGATTCCACCTACTCTCATCTTGTGATGCAACACACACACCCAGAAATGATCCTTAACCAATACATGGGCACCCACCATCAGGTCGAGTTGACTCCCAGAATGAAACATCACAGTCACACCCCTGTCAACTTAGCCCCCATGTGCATCTGCTAAAACCATGTACCCTCTCCAAAGAAAGGCAGTGGCCAGCCATGCTCACTGCTCCTGCTCTACTGGTGTGCAACAAAGTGATGCTGACCCTCCACCCTGGAGGTGAAGGCCGTGGGTGATATCCGCTCTTCTCAAACATACTCAACCTCCTACTATGGTGCATGGCAAGCAAAGCTCAAAGACCATGACATAAAGCCACAGTCTAAATCTGAAGACAAGGTCTTCTTCCCCTTGATTTTCATGGAGCTCACTGGTTATTCACATAAACATTTCTGCTCACCTTTTATTGTGTCTAATATATATATATATAATATAAAATAATAAAAATCATGTTGGCAGCACCATTACCACAAAACCTTCAGATCCTGCACACAGTAGCTAGTATGACACCTGTGTAGACAGGAGTGTCTCACCTCTTGGTGGCACAGACTTTTCTATTCCTGCATCTACCTGGCATCTAAAGGAACATTCCCACATTGGGGATTCAAAAGTTGCTGTTCCAACCCTGAAAGAAAATAGGGATTTTGAAGTGACCGTGACCCCTGAAGAAGGGCCAGCTCTTCCATGGTCACCTGTCCTGTCTTGGCGTCACATGGGGAAGGCAGGCTGGGTGGCCTCCCCCATATTTGGGAGCAGAAGAGAACATGCCTTGCTGCTTAAACCCTGTCTTAACTCCCCTTCCCAAAGACAAGCCATTTCAGCAAGAAGCAGCCAGAGCAATCATCTCTCAGTTCCCCCTACAGATGTTAGGTTTCCATCTCCATCTCAGCACCAGGCACTCCATCTTGGAGTAACCACAACTGTCCCTGTGTCTGGGAGATCATTGTCACCTCTGCCTCTTCCTGTTACTCTGCCCTTATCAATGCAGAGGCACAGCTGGCAGAGAGCCTGGCCAGACTGGGTGCCTGCAACCCCACAGCAATCACATCAGGGAAAAGAACATGTTCTGCAGTGTCAGCCTCTCCAGTGGGCAGATGGCTCTTCGTCTTCTCTGGACTCCTAAGGTAGAGATCCCTAAATGTAGATGAGGGTGGTTTGCATGCTGGGCAGAAAAGAGAACAGTCAGTGTCCATACAACACACTGCTAAGGGTTTCTCACAGGAAACAGAGGAAGGAAGGACTCTGGGAAGCTCAGCAGCAGTTCCAGGAAGACTGTGCACACTCGGTGACTCAGGCAGATGCCTCCACTGGACGAAAACCATCTTCCTGCCTGGACCACAGGAATCCTCCCATTTTACTGATGTCCCTGAGATACCTGCCAAGTAACACATTTTGGAGGTTAACCATGTTTTATATAATGAAAGTCTTTGCGGAGATTAATGTGTTATCAGGAATGTACAACTGGTAGGAACTGATTGGTCACAGTGCTTTGCAATTCCTGCCTCACAAAGCTACTCTGATGCCTAACTTTGTTGGTTTTTTTTGACAGGCAGAGTTAGTGAGAGAGAGAGAGAGAGAGAGAGAGAGAGAGAGAGAAAGGTCTTAGATCTTCCTTTTCCATTGGTTCACCCAAGTGGCTGCTATGGCCGGCGTGCTGCGCTGATCCAAAGCCAGGAGCCAGGTGCTTCTCCTGGTCTCCCATATGGGTGCAGGGCCCAAGCACTTGGGACATCCTCCACTGCCTTCCTGGGCCACAGCAGAGAGCTGGACTGGAAGAGGAGCAACCAGGACAGAACCAGTGCCCTGAAACTAGAACCCGGGGTGCTGGTGCCACAGGCAGAGGATTAGCCTAGTGAGCCACGGCGCTGGCCTTTTTTTCTTTTTTTTTCTCTTTTTGATGCATAACTTTGAATGGAGGTTAGGAAGACAAAAAACATGGCACTGAGGGACTGGGTAAGGAGATGCGAAGGTGGTGAATTTAAGGTACAGTGAGTATGTCAGAGTAAAAATTATTCCATGATACTTGTTCATGTACAGTAAGGAAGATGATATTCAGAGCCACCAAGATATGTTAGGGGAACACTGCAACAGACCCTTGCAGTGTTGAGGAGAGACAGACTCAACTCTGAACATGATCAAGCGAGGATTTATGGCTCTGAATGCAACAAGTTCAAGAAGAAACATTAGGGTCCAGGGCAATACTGGCAAAACCAACCTAATAGGGTGCTGCTGAACACAGACCAGGGGGACCAGACCTCTGCTGGGCACAGCTGAAGGCTGATCAAGCTGGTCAGCTGCCAAGGTTGGCAGGTTCTTTGCTAAAGCTGGATTTTAGAAGAAAGAGCAGAGATGGGCTAAAAGATCATTCAGGAACATGTCTCAAGGTGACCAAGCACAGACTCTTGGTCAAGCACATATGGGGCCCAAGAGGAAAGATACAGGTCTTGAGAAAAAACAGAAAGGCAGGCAAAGGCACCGGAGACAGATATTTCAGAAATGCATGGCAAATGGACTGGTGCTACGGTGTACCAGGTAAAGGTGTCACCTGCAATGCCAGTATCTCAATGGGTGCCAGGGGATGCTCCACTTCCGATCCAGCTCTCTGCTATGGCCTAGGAATATAGTAGATGGAGGCCCAAGTGCATGGGTATCTGAACCCAAGTAGGAGACACGGAAGAAGCTCCTGGCTACTGGCTTCCTATTGGCTCAGCACTGAACACTGTGGTCATCTGGGTAATTAGCCAGCACATGAAAGACCTACTTTCTCTCTTTCTCTTCCTCTTTCTCTTCCTCTCTCTCTCTCTCTGTCTCTCTCTCTTTCTGCCACTGTGTCTCTTAAACTCTGCTTTTCAAATAAATAATTTTAATAAAGTTTATGAATATATAATTCATATAAATGGATCATGTGAAACATAATTTTTAGATCTCACTTATTAATTTTTTTAAAATTTGATTTGAGAGGCAGAGAGACAGAAAAAGCCTCTGCATCTCTGTAAATTTGCCTTTTAAATAAACAAATGAATCTTAAGAAGAAGTAGAAGTGGCCCAGTAACTTGGTGAGAGGGACAGCATGGACTTCCCTCAGACCCACTGGATCTGCATTGTGGATGATGGCAGCTCCTCTGCTCCAGTCACCTCACAGAGCACAGAATTCCTAAAATAAAAAGTTATCGAAACAGCCTTCTTCCCCCAGGTAATGGAAGCAGCCCCAGAGGTTATGCCCATCTGTCCCAAGGTGTGTGCCCAGGGATGCACTCTCCACTCTAAGAAGCAGCTGCTGTTTTAGGGACCCAGGGCAACAGTTGCCAGTGTCAGGACCAGGAGCATCTGCCCTTCTCCCTGGGGGCCAGGCCTCAGGTCCACATCAGTCTTTTCCTTCCTGGCTACATGGGGTAGTGATGGGGTCTCACCAGGTGAAATTTCCTACAGGTACACTTTAATGGGTCTGTCACTGTATATTTGTAGCCTATGAAAAGCCACTTGATGATGCACGGAGCTATTATAACACAACACACTCTTATAGGAGCTGCTCACATGTGGAACAATCACACCTTTCACGGCTTGTTTACTCTTTAAAACATGTGCCTTTCTCCATCTCTGCTGTGCCCTGTGTGAGTAATGAAATACCCTCTGCAGCATGGCCCAGGCTCAGAGACCTGAAAACCCAGTATCCCTGTCCTTGAATGGCCCCTAAGTGTTACCTTTCATGTAATCTAAAATCCACCTGACACAGCTTTTTGCTGAATTAAAAGTTGATAAATTTTTGGATTAAATGTTAATCCTCCTGTGTGGCAGGGCAAGAGAGGCTCCAAATTACCACGAGGGCAATGACCTCTCTAAAATCCTCCTAGATTTAGAATATATCAGGATGGTCCCATTAAAAAAATTCAGGGGACAGTGCTGTGGTGTGGCAGGCAAAGCCAACACCTACTGTGCCAGCATCTCATGTGAGCATCGATTCTAGTCCTGGCTGCTCCACTTCCCATGCAGCTGTCTGCTATGGCCTGGGAAAACAGTAGAAGAGGGCCCAAGTCCGTGGACCCCTGCACTCTTGTGGGAAACCCAGAAGCTGCTCTTGGCTCCTGGCTTCAGATCGGTGTAGCTACAGCCACTGCGGCCAGTTGGGGAGTGTACTAGAAGATAGAAGACCTCTTTATCTCTCTCTGCTTCTCCATCTCTCTGTTTAACTCTGATTTTCAAATAAAATAAATAATTCATTTTTCAAAAAATTGAAAGCTTGATTGAAATATGAAAAAATTCAGGCCTACTAAGTACAATCTGCCAAAATCAATAGAAGGGACATTTTTTGTCTCACTGAAAGGCACACACACATGTGTACAAACAAATGTGTACACTCACACATGCATATATGAATACATGTGTGACAGAATTATGAGAACATGTGGGATAACATCTCTCATGGTCTTGGCTTTTTTCCACTGATTATGACATATTGACAATCTTCCCTTTTTGGCTAAACTTACACATTTTCATTGTTTGTGCAGGCAGCCATAAGCGATAACCCCTATTCACATCTCTGACTCTACCTGCCCAGGTATGCTCAGCTCAAGTGTCTCCCTGTCCAGGGAGTCCTGCCAGCATGCCATCTCTGTGTCAACTTGCTCTTCCTTTGGAATCTGTACATTGGAGAGTCACTGCAGCTCAAGTCCAACACGCACAGAGTCCAAAACCATGCTAACAACCAGGTTAGTACTAACCTACAGACACTGCTCTCAACAGTCCTGTTTCAAACAGCCAAGGATGAATCAAAGGAAACTGCTGAATTTACAGCAACAAAATCTCAGGTCCAGTTTCTCCCAGGGTATCTCACAATGAAAGGACAGCTGAAATACCTGTTCTGTATTCCACTTTGTATTTTGCGCAGTCTCTTCTGAAGGGAAAACATGTCCTTACTCATCTGTTTCCTTCACAATAAACAAAGGGGCCAGGTCTAAGAACAAAGTTCTTGTTTCTCTGCCAAGTGCACACAGACATAGAACTTCTATCAAGAAGACTATCATGGGGCCAGCACTGTGGTGCAGTGAGTTAATGCCCTGGCCAGAAGCGATGGCACCCCATATGGGTGCCAGTTCTAGTCCAGGCTGCTCCTCTTCCAATCAAGTTCCCTGCTGTGGCCTGCGAAATCAGAAGATAGCTCAGTCCTTGAGCCCCTGCACCCACGTGGGAGACCTGGAAGAAGCTCCTGGCTCCTGGCTTTGGATCAGTACAGCTCCGGCCAGAGTGGCCATCTGGGGAGTGAACCATCGGACGGAAGACCTCGCTCTCTCTCTCTGCCTCTCCTTCTCTCTCTGTGTATAACTCTGACTTTCAAATAAATAAATAAATCTTTTTTTAAAAAAAAGAAGACTATCACAAGGCTGCAGAATCCTGCAAGCAGGATAATATGCAAGCAACAAGAAGTAGTTTCTTCAGCCACAGTGAAGCAGACGTCAGAGGAAGCTGTGGCCACTGCCATCTAAGGTTAGGCAGATGTCTACACAGGTACTGATACTGATACACTTCGTCATCAGGAATATCAAAATGCTACTGCTGTCTTTGATAGCAAAAGATGAGTGTACTTTTGATAGCAAAGATGATCTGTACTTCGGAACCCATTGCTTTCATTTTCTTTCCTTCCTTCCTTCCTTCCTTCCTTCCTTCCTTCCTTCCTTCCTTCCTTCCCTCCCTCCCTCCCTTCCTTCCTTCCTTCCTTCTTTCCTTTTTTTGAAGGCAGAGTGGACAGTGAGAGAGAGAGACAGACTGAGAGAAAGGTACTCCTTTGCCGTTGGTTCACCCTCCAATGGCCACCGTGGCTGGTGCGCTGCAGCAGGTGCACTGCGCTGATCCGATGGCAGGAGACAGGTGCTTCTCCTGGTCTCCCATGGGGTGCAGGGCCCAAGCACTTGGGCCATCCTCCACTGCACTCCCTGGCCACAGCAGAGAGCTGGCCTGGAACAGGGGCAACTGGGACAGAATCCGGCACCCTGACCGGGACTAGAACCTGTTGTGCTGGCACCGCAAGGCGGAGCATTAGCCTAGTGAGCTGCAGCGGCGGCCTCTTTTTTTTTAAGATTTATTTTATTTACTTGAAAGACAGAGTTACAGAGAGAGGTAGAAACACACAGAGAGAGGTCTTCCACCCACTGGTTCACTCCTCAAATGGCTGCAACATCCAGAGCTGAACTGATCTGAAGCCAACAGCCAGGAGCTTCTTCCAGGTCTCCCATGTGGGTACAAGGACACAGGACTCGGGCCACCTTCTGCTGCTTTTGCCAGCATATTACCAGGGAGCTGGATCAGAAGTGGAGCAGCTGGGACTCAACTGGTGCCCAATGGGATACCAGTGCTGAAGGTGGGGGTTTTAACCCACTGTAC